ATATATAAATATATATATAATATTTTATATCAAATTTGATATTATTCATTATTTAATTTTGATATTTGCTTTCGAATTATATACAGCGAAGAAATGATTATATCTGGGAAGTTATATCTAATTTTAAAAAATAATACTAACAATTTCATATCTTCAAAAAGATTTTACGTTAAAAAGAAATAATTAAAAGGTATACATATATATTATTTTTACTTTTAATCCAGGTATCGGTTCATAAGTTTCGTACTGGTTTATGAAACATTCGGATTTTTTCTTGAATTTCCTTTTTACATTAGGGGTCCACCAATTTCTTAAATTTCCAAATTCATCGAATAAACTTCCTTGAAAGATATAATTCAAAATATTAGGTTTGTATGTATTATTATACAATATGTCTAATATGTCTAATATTAAAGTTATTTTTATTCAAGTAATAAAAATGAATAAATAATGTTAGTTTTAATTTAACAATAATTTATATTAATTAAAGGCACAAGAAGCTAATTACAGTGTAGAACGTTGCAATTAAGCAATAAATTGAAATTAAAACAAAACTTGTTAAAGGAACTATCTTAAATATCAATTATTAAAGAAAAGTTCCTTAGATTAAATATTACAGTTTTTCTTTTCTTTTAATCTCCTTCAAGTACAACTTCTTTAACAATTGCTAATAATAACAAAACAGTGAAAGCACACCAAGCAAACAGGCATATTGCTCATGTCTTGATGTCAACAAGACTACAGCACTATAAATTAGTTAACGGAGAACAAGAAAGCTATTTCCTAAGCAAATACGTATGTATCAACAGAGTCGTCTACCTAGCACCTTTCACGGAGAAATTTTTGAATTAAAATAACGTGACTTCCGGTTTGAATCGGAAGTTACATAGATGAAAGACGAGACCAGATATGGAAACCTTATGGGGTAGGAGGCCCGAGGTTTCCATATCTGGTCTCGTCTTTCATTTATCTAACTCCGTTCTCAAGATTAAGGAAAGACAGGCGGACAGAAGGACGGACGCCAGTTGGAATTTATAGGTCTACATTTTTTCAAATTGCAGCCCAATGAAAATTTAACACAATAATTAAAAAGCCTCAACATTTACTATAAAACTTGTTTAAGTACTAACTTATGTTAACTTTTTTCCTATGTCTGATATACATCCATTATAAAAATTATTATATTTAATACTTTTAGATACGTTGCTGTTGTGAGTTTACTATTTATAAATGCTGATAATGTATAGTTACATATATTCATCTATATTTTATAATTTTTGTTTATTTTGCCTTCATTTTTCTTCTTTGCTTATCTTTTTACTTTACGTAGCATACACCATATAGATTTTGTGCAAAAATCTAAATATATATAACTCAAAGGTGACTGACATAGTGATCTATCAACGCACAGCCCAAACCACTGGACGGATCGGGCTGAAATTTGGCATGCAGGTAGATGTTATGACGTAGGCAGTCGCTAAGAAAGGATTTTGATCAATTCTACCCCCAAGGGGATAAAATAGGGGATGAAAGTTTGTATGAAACTTTGTCAATTTTAAACCGATCGGGCTGAGACTTTGCATGCATAAAGCTACTATGACGTAGGCATCCCCTAAGAAAGAATTTTGATAAATTCCACCCCTTAGGGGATAAAATAAGGAATGAAAGTTTGTATAAATCTACTCACATTTTCGACTGATTGAACTGAAATTAAAGATTGGAGCTACTATGATGAAGACGTCCGCTTAAATAGGATTTCGATAAATTCAACCCCCATGGGGATAAAATAAGGGATGATGGAGGATGTAAATGTATTAGTTTGAACCTATCAGTACCTAATGGAACGAATAAATTAAGACGAACAAAATAATTTTTAGTTCTAAATGTTGACAATAGATGGCGTTAGTAGTATTTTAAAACGCGCTATCTTATGATGAGTGGCCGCCGTATCTAATAGTACATACTATACCTAAATATTTCTAGCGATTATATATTGTGTACAAAGAAGTTTTGTAGGCCCTAATTTTTTACACACGCTAAACAAAAGTAAAGCCGCAAAAACTGTACCTAATTAATAATAATACTTCTTAACGCGAGCGAAGCCGCGGGCAAAAGCTAGTNTCGATTTAAAAAGAAAAGAGCGATGTTTTGTGTACAGCGCATGCGTGCTGTAATACTTTCGAAGTAAACTTTTAAATACTATCATCTAGCAGGATCTGCCATGCTGTTCAAATGACTATCTCTTCTTTAAAATTGATGCATGTTGCGTTGCGTCCTGCTCTAAATATCTCCATAGCCTCCAACCATTTGAGATGTTCGGGGTGGGTGGTTTTTTTAACTCTTTCCGCCCTGTGGGTACTAAGAGGGCCTCTTTTTGCAAGCCCATTATGGGTTCGGCCAGGCTCACAATAGGGCTGCCAAGTGGTGAGGGACGGGGCCCGACATATCCGAACGGACTACCCCCGAAAAATTCCTGGGGATTTCTCGATCCGTTCGGAATCGAATCCAGGTCCCCCAGAGCAGTAGGCTGCTACCATGACCGCTCGGCCATCCGGCCGCAGGGGTGGGTAGTAGTGAGGATAATATGCGCCGCGTATCTTATGCGCGTATGCGCCGATAACTTAATCTTCTCGCGGAAGAATTAGCTGAAGTTATCAGGAAACACGTCAGAGATGCGAGGCGTGGCCGAGATGAGTGAGTAATCACGTGACCGAATAGTCCCGGCACATGTCACGTGACACATTGGAAGCGGACGCAGACGAAAAAGTTTTCGTCGCGGAGCGGCACAAAGCTTAAGCAATGGCGTCTTCGAACGGGTACACTCGGTAAGTAATCCGACAATTTTTTGTTTATAGCATATTTTATATTGATCATTTCAACAAATTATACGTGTTTTGGAAATATTCGAGTGAAATTAGTCTAGATTTAGTTAATTTTATGGAAGTAAACATCTCAAATAGCCGTACCCCCTAAACTGTACAAGTGCCGCAGAATCTACTATATTTCTTCTAGATCCAACTGTACTGTACTTGGTAAGCAAGAAATATTCAGCATTTCTACTTTGACTTATTACGTTACACTAACTTTTTTCATCTTTTTAATCGTAAGTCTTTTCGCTTCACAAGCATCTAAGGTTTTGTTGTATGCATCACTGATTCGGCTAGTCTATAGTAAAGACAGTCAGATAGTGACATGTAGGACATGACATATCCGGGTCAATAAACCTTGAAAATTTCTATATCGAGATTTTGGACTTGAACCCTACTTTATTTTTTTTTCTGTTTGTTTCTAAAAACACTATAAATGTTTTCCAATATTACCTTCGTCATCAAATGCGTGCGTCATTTCGTGTCCAATTACGTTTCCAAATGATCCAAAGTTTAAATAACTGTAATAATTCCTTTTAAAATTTTAGGATAAAAATATCACTTTTTTTATAATTGAAATTTCAATACTCACACCGGGAGGCCGTATTGATAAAATGGAAATTGTAACATTGCAGCTGATAGAACTAAAAATAATAATAATAAAATAAAAATATCTATATTAGATATTAAAATTTATAATAGTCATATGCATTTTAATTCAGTTTTGTAATCAAAGAAAATTACTTACATAAACCATTTGCATTTGCATTATAATATGCATTAACATTAATAGGTGATGTTGCCCAACTGCAATATTAATTCTCAATTAATGTAACATAAATAATTAAATTTAATGTTTTTTGACTCTTTCTGCTCTGTGCGCATTAAGAGAGACTTTTTCATGTCCATTGCGGGTTCAGCCAGATCTACAATGGGGCAGTCGGGTAGTGAGGAACAGAGCCCAACATATCCGGGAAGACTTCTCAAATATTCCTGGGATTTTCGACTTGTTCGGTTCGGAATCGATCCCGAATCCTCTAGAGCACAAGGCTAATGTCCAATTACCTCGGCCATCGGCCGGATATTAAACATCATATAAAAATTAACACTGAATTGCTTGCGAATTGCAGCAGGTTACGATATACACTTTTAAATCATGATTAAAACTTTTTTTTTTTTTACTTTCAAGTTTTGAGTTCAAAAAACTACTTTTGAAAAATCAAACTGAATATCCTTTAATTAAAAGCAATTAATAAATATAAATCGAATATAAAATCAGAACTAAAATCGGAAATTAAATCACGTAATTTTAATATCATTGGCTGTATTACAGTAACAGAGAGGTTGAGTATTTTTCTGATGAATGCCATCTACCGAAGCGCTACTTTGAAACATGTTGAGTAAATTGGCATCATGTTTCATTTAATTGACTTCATTTATACCATCCTCGGGTAGGAATAACTAATCAAAGATGGTTGCACCAACACAACAAGTAAAGTATATTTTATTTACGAACGTGAAGGCGTTCATTACAGTAATAATTCACTTACAACTGTCCACCAGTGGCCGAGTGGATAAAACCACTGAACACTGGTAGTTAGTTGGTCTTAGATTTGCGTCTCGCCATCGGGCTGGCTACTTAGAGTTTTCCAGGTTTTCTTCACGTAAATAACACCTAAATAGGGGCCAGTTTTCCATAAATAACCTCCTGGAGCATTCCCCCTTCAGAAGCTCGCCTGTGTCGCGTTGTCGTAATAATGATTATAAAACCAAACCAAACCTTACACACAACTGTCAACAACTAAAAGTAAGGATAAATTGAATTTGCTTAGAATATTTTTTAAGTTTGCAGAAGCTACTATAACGCAACCAACCACTCGCGTCGACATATAATTCATCTTTCAACAGATAACAACAACTTTCAATTTCTTTAAGTGATTGTAATAGAAATATTTCTGTAATGTCTATAGTTATATAGAATAGTATATAGTTATATATAACCTATTGGAATCAATAAATTTTATGTTATGTTATTTATTTTCTCAGTAGGTGGCAGGAGGATATATTATTTAGATATTTCTTACTTTGTTTCCATAGTATGTACAGTATATGGCTGCGTGCTTATAAATTTTTTTTACATTTCAGTTGGAACTTTTGCTCGTAAATAGGCAAAAATATTTTTCTTATAAGTACCAAAATACCAATAACTATTGATATAAGCATATAATTAAACTTTTACAATGTTAAATATTTTTTCAAATGACTTATTTACTGAAAACGCTAATGTTTATTTTTTCAGACTTAACAGTAAAAACGGTAAAAACCGTAAAACAGCTTCGTTCAGAATGGTAGGTACCATCGACTGCAGTGGCTTATCTAGCATTTTGAAAATATGGACGCTGCTCAAGAAGATTCGGGGGAACCAAAGCACATGGCCCCTGCAGTTTTTCGGAGAATATTACTCATTTACCTTACAGTTACTTTAGTTACCTAATTCTCCCTAATTGATGTCGTGTGATATACGTTATTTTTTAAAATAAAAATTAATAGGTTTTTAATAACAAAATTCATTGTTTTGGTATTGAGTTTTGTGGCATCATAGTGCTTATGGTGAACTCCTGCGTTTGAAGAATGGTTCATTGGTCTTGTAATGTTAGATTTTAATAAAGTGATTACTTTAGAGATAATGGAAAATTCTTCACTCAATCGGACGGAGTCTTTACAGGCTTAACAGCCTGTAAAAATCCTTAAATTGGACAAAACTAGCTGATTTATGTAAGAACACAGTAGACAAAATTAATTACAACTTTAAAGGTGTAGTATTTTATAAAAGATATGCTGATGACTGTTTAGTAATTTATGATTTTTTTTAAAATGATTTTAGACCGCTAGAATGATATAATCCAAACATCAACTTTGCTATAGAGACAGAAGAAAATAATCAAACTAATTTTTTAGACTTGTCTATTTTTAGGAAAATTAATTCACCGAGTTTTAGGAAATACACGAAACCCTATAACGTTAAGAAAATTATGGACTATTATTCTGACGCATCGATGTAGCCTAATGAAAAAGAATATTTTTTATATAAGAAAAATTAAAATAAGAACTAGCAACTTTGAGAAAAAACCGAAGGAATAATAGAAAACTGCAATATCTTTAATTTATAGTAAACAACTAATTAACAATTAGCTTAAAAACTTAACATTTAATTATTAATAGTAAAAGTAATTTGGTCTAGAGGTAGACATTAAGCGCCATCTGTTGATAAATATAATAATTATAATTAAATTAATATTTTAATAATTAATTTAGAAATCTCTGGAAGAAAAGATATAAGTAATCAATATGGTTATATCTAAATTAGTAGTTCTGGAAACGAAGACAGGACGGAGATCCGAGTAACGTAACTGGCAACGCAACCTCACAGTAATTGGGTTCGAGCACCGCTTCGGGCCAATTCTTTTCTTCCAGAACCTTCTAAATTAATTATTAAAATATTAATTTAATTATATTTATTAAATTTATCAAGAGATGCGTACCTCTAGGCCATATTACTTGACATTTAATTATTAACAGTAGCGTTAATATTGCTCGATCTAATCCGGCAATCGTTTGGTTTTAATAATTGGATTTTTAGATGGTTATAACCTATTTGTAAAAAGTTTACAATGAATAAACAAATTTCTACTAAAGAACAGATTTATATGAAGGTTCCGTACATATACAAGCTATTTGAGACCTCAAAAAAATTTTAAATCATTTAATATTATTTTAGCACTGAACCTTCATAACACAATAATTAAATGGTTAAATAATAATTTTGATAATACAAAAAAATGAGATATAGATTTGTTACGCGATAATGTATATAAAATTTCGCGCAGTTGCCAACCATCCTTCTATTATGTCGGAAAAATAGGGAAACAATGAAAAATCTGATTGAGCCCCCACCAGTGGGCGAGTGGTCTCCGTTGCCGCTCATCGTAGTGGTGACCAAACCCTAAAGACTGGGAGGTTCGTCGTGGGTTCGCGCCACGGTCGGACAGGCTGGCTGCTTGGAGTTTTCCGGGTTTTCTCCTTGCCTATAACGACTGAATAGGAGGCCAGTTCCCCATAAAAGTCCTCCCGGAAGGCATTTATTTCCCGCGCGTACGTATGGCTGTTCGATACAGCCGGCTAATCGGTCGCCTAGCGATCATACACATACACAAGTCTACTCGGAGAAAGAGCCTACATTGAGTTAAAATCTCCATATAAACACCATCGAAGAAGAAAGAGGAGGAAAATCTGATTGATAAAACACATTTGCACAATAAATTAATTATACAAATACCGCATCGCTAACCGCCGTGTCAATGCCAAATCTTACTAAATAGTGTTCAGACTTTATTAAAAGAAAGAAATGTCACTAAAAAAATTACATAAATACTTAAAAAATATAAAAATTCCAGAAAATTTTAAAATAAGTTTAAATGATGAATTAATTTTAAGTGAAGTCTGGAAACATGCGTTAATCTAACTGGAAGAGTCCATTAAATAAAACCATTATTTTGCACTTTATGCAATACTTCGACAAACATACAGAAGAAAAAATCATTGAGTGTGGTTTTATGCACTCATCTTTATAACTTAGGCTACATATGATTTTATTTGTTCTTTTAAATTTTTATCGTTTTTAACGGAAAAATTTGGAAAGGAATGTATGAAAAACATTTTTTTAAAGTCTTTCCGCCCTGTGGCACTAAGAGGGCCGCCATTAGCAAGCCCATTATGGGTTCGGCTAGGCCCACAATGGGGTGGAAAGGATGGTGAGGGATAGAGCCCAACATATCCAGACGGATCACTCGCTGAAAAATTCCTGGGCATTTTCGAGCCGTGAGGATTCGATTCCCCAGAGCGGTAGGCTGCCACCTTGACAGCTCGGCCATCCGCCCTATGAAAAACATTTATTAGATTGTGGGAAAATGTTAACTGTGGTTTATAAAGACAGGATTTTAAATTGTTTCGAGTCAGTGTTTTATATCTTAAATTTTTGTTTTTAATTGTCAATGTCGGCTGTACACATTGTGGCCTGAAAGAAGGGATGGTTTTTTTTTCTATCCAGAAATGCATTGCCGCTTAATTAACAAGCGTAATTGACGAGTTTTGAACCAATCGTTCTTTGTCTCCTGATTAAAACAGACTACATAAAACGAAAGTTATTAGTCTTAGTGGAGATAATCCTTTAAAAAATCTTCGCATACGTTCATTCTTTGAAAATTTCCTGGAATTGCTTGTCCAGTTTCGATCCCGGTTTTCCAGAACGGTAACTTATCAAGAATAGACATAGAAGATATAGAACCTATTGGCGTGACTAATCGAACTGATAATGGTCATAAAAAAGGCTCTCTCAGTCCCATAGAGCAAAAAGGATTTTTACAAATGTTTAGTTAAAACTCAAATTTGTTGAACTCTTTTAAATAATTGCTTTCAATATTCAGTAATTTGAAAATAACACTCAAAATAACACTCTGTAACATATATTGAATTGTTAAAACAATTCAAAATACAATTCAACAGTCAACTCGTAATAAATGATTAAATGAGACAGCATTGTAATTAATATCAATCTTTGCGATTCACTTTTGTGAATTATATTGTATAAAAGATAAAAATAAAATTAAAATAAAATTTTAAAAATTATTTATGAAAAATCAAAGATCTAAGAATCGAGATAAAATTCTCATATTTTCGGAATACTGATTAAAATCAATTTTTCCATTATAGATATATTATATGCGATTTAGTTTCCCATATAATACATATATCTCAAATATTCATTTTAGAAATAATATATGTGATTAGAAAGTTTAGTTTACTCAGAATTTCTGTCGAAGTTAAGAGTTAATTTTAATAATTCCTTCTTCACCATGAATTGAAGAATATTAATGGAACTTTCGAGGAAATCATCTTCTGTAATATTTCCCAGCTGTTTGTTAAATTATAGAAAATATGAGTATAATACATTAATATCTTAGTTAAGTTAATTCATTTCTAAGTTACCATTTCGTAATAGCTATGTATTTTATCGTCATCTACTATCCATGATGGATAACCGATAATCGGTATCATATGCTTTAACTATAAATAAAGATTTAGAATAAATATATATATCGAATTGTTTATACTTTAATTAAAGAGAAATATATTATTAGTATATAGGGGAGATCGGGGCAAGATCGGCATGTTAAGCTTTACTTAAATTTTGTGTAATAAATACTGCTGTAAACTGAAAAAAAAGCTTTGCATATTGTCTATTGGAATGTTACCTTACTATAGAACTGGTTAAAATCAGTTTGGAAATAAAAATAATTAAAATAATTACAACTTTACAAGAAGAGAGAAATTGACGAAGTTGCCCCGGGTATAGGGGCAAGATCGGCAACTTCTCTCTTTTTGTAAAGTTGTAATTATTTTAATTATTTTTATTAAAGTTGCCCCTGGTATAGGGGCAACAGTAATGGGGCAAGATAGGCACGTATATAAAATTATGTTATTAACAATGTATAAGTTGGAATTCACTATTAAAACAAAGAAATACAAATCCAACACCCATTTAATATTATTACAACGAAATGCAAGTTCAAAGACATATATACATGAATAACAAATGCAAACATGTTTTCATTTATCATCTGTTTGATTTTTATCCTTTGCTTCTAATGTGGCTTTATGTTGCCGATCTTACCCCGCTAGTCATGATTTCGAAACATTAAGTACAACCCTGAGAACAGAATGCCAAGCCACGATCTGGCCACGTGAATAAGTTGAAGTTACATCCTTCTAACAGGAAAAGTAACTTTCGTTATCATGGAATTATAACAAAACCTGCCAATTCAATATAAATGGAAAAAAAATATTATATGGAATTGAACGAAAATGAAAATTTGCTTGATAATTCAACTACGCTTGTTGGAGAACAATAAAAACACTACACTCAACAAGCCACCAATAAAACTCAACTGCCTAACCTATAACCAAAGTCTCCTTTTAATTTGTTTTTTAAAAAAAGCGCTTGACAAACTTGCCCCGCATGCCGAAGTTGCCCCGATCTCCCCTAAATATAATTTACGATATTTTTAAGTAAAACGAATTTACCTTTCTCAGTGCTACAGATTTTGTTTGATAATCTATCCATTCGGATTCTTGTATTATATCTTTAAATGCGTATTTTACTTCTTTCACCATTTCTAGAATCTATAATAAGATGCACAATAATAATAATTATATCAATAATTATTTCCACAGTTAACGGATATTCTAAAATATAAAATTTTTTACATTCTATTTAAATTACATATTATTCATGTTAAATTTTAAGTGAGAACATTCTGGGACGAAAAGATATTGAAATGCTGTAATAATTTGGAATAAAAATATTCTAGTGGAACAAGCAATTATTTATTGTGACATTATCACAATGCCGAGTGTCAATTTTTAATCATATTTTTAATTTATTTAATTTAAAATGTATACTCTCCACCTTAAATTAGTACTGTAGTGTCTTGCCCCTGTACATCATACTTTTCCGTTAGCAATGGAGTCGTGCCGGTCTTCTATTAACTGCTTTTAGGAGAAACTTTTTGAATCAAAATAACATAACTTCCGGTTTGCATCGAAAATTCGTATATAGTTAATCGGGGCCTTCTTTCCACGTGGTTTTCATATCTGGTCTTGTTATTCCTCTACGTAACTATATTCTCGAAATTAAGGAACGACAGGCGGACAAACGGACGACAGTGGAAATTTATTGATCTACAATTTTTTGAAATTGCAGCCCAATAAAACAACCATTAATAACGTGTAACATGTGAGTGCGGTTTATGGAAGAGTTCGTAAGGTGTTAAATTCTTGTCAGGCAATATCTGACTGTTGTCTGAAGGTACGTACTATATAATACAGTACTACGGGTACAATGTCTAATGTAAAATAATTAACAATGTAAAATTTATATCACACAGATACCTTGTACAAAATTTTTTTATAAATAAAAAGTTACATCGAGGTAGGAAAAGCGTTTGATCCGAAAATTTTAATGTTGTATTGTTTTAGGGAATTTTTTTTAGTACTGTATATTATATGAAGAATAACGTCGAAATTATATATTTATATTACACAGTAGATTTGGTATTATGCATGTCGACAATAAATTAAAAATCGTTATGAAAATGTGCATCAGGAGTTTAAACGAATTTTTGTAAAAAACAATTTTGTTAATACTGTGTAATAATAAACATTGTTTAGCCAACAGACGATGGACACCAGCCCGAAACGCGTATTGGCACAGTTGGTTTAAAGACTGTAAAGCATATAGAAGAATGAATTAGATATGAAAAAAATCTAGTGTCTAATATCAACATCTTACATAGTCTTGGTAAATTAATTAAGTGAAAATAATGAGGTAACATACGGAAGTGGATATGCACTATAGATCTAGATATGTAATTACAACACGATTTCTAAATATGTGTCATGGAAATAAATTTATGAGAGAAAATTACGCAGATGACTAGAAATGATCGAGAGAGAATGTCTTAGAAGTAAGAAACACTATTTAATCATTATTTATTTTAAGAATGTCTAGAGATTGAATATAAAAAACATTAAAAATTATTGACATCTTTATGGATTACTCGATCCACTTATACCTAGATTTATCATAACAGTCTATTTAATAGACAATTCAAACTTCTCAAAATTATTCTTGTTAGAAATAAGATTAAGAGGACGATTATAAAAAGAAAGTGAAGAAAAGGAACTGAGGCAACAATGGCAAAAAATTAAATAGAGATTGGGCAGAACGGGTAGAATAGGTAAAAATGGATAATTGACGATGTAAAAATATAGTTATTATCAAATACAGAAATTCCAGTCAACAGGTTGCTTAACTTCCAGGCTGTTAAAAAATAACTTTTAAAGTATATTATTAATTATAATAAATAAAATTGTGTGGTGCTATCTGTTATAAGATTTTATTATAAAAAATTTTTATATTTTTAATTATTATAAAATGACAAAAGGCTTAATTTTGAGGGTAGTGATGAATTTCATATAAAATTTTAAATGCTAATAACGAATAAAATCTTCATTAAGTCCAACTTCTTTCGACATGTGACTCGTGACCAGCCACTATTTTCCCGCCCCCTCGACCTTTATCCACGAAAATTTAATAATATCAATATTCCTTACCAAACTACCATTTCAAATTTCGTTTCTTGATCATTACCCCATACTGAGATATTAAACGAAATAGACGCTAACACACATACACACACGGAATTATTTTTTGTTTCTTTGACTTTTTGGTTTAAGGGGTCTTAAAACGTGGAAATTTACAAAAACTCGGAGGGTCAAATTTGACACGATTCGAATATTTTCCCTGTTGTTTTGTGTACATAAGAGCTGGGAAAGTAAAAGTAATTTAGGATTAATTGCCTTCAAGGTATATTTATCCATTTCACGTTCCGACAAGAAATTTTTGAGTAGAATGGATGAGATTTCGAAGTTATTTCATTTTATTTTTATTTTTTGGGATTAATTCCTTCTCTTTATTAAGAGAGTGAGTCAAAAAAGTGAGAATGAATTTATTACACATGAAATACAGTAAGTAGGATGCAAGTTGATATGGCCTTTTTCAATGTTTCCATCGAGTTGTATGCAGTTGGACCAATATGTCTGCCAATTTTGGAAGATGTGCTGGAACTAGTTTTTTGAAATCGTCTTCGACTTCTTCAGAACGGCCGTTGATGAGTCGAAATACGGGCTCCACAACTATAATTCCAGATAAGAGATAAAAACAGTCTCACGGAGCAAGGTTCGTTTGTATACAGGGTATGGCACACATTCAATGTTTGATAGTTTGATACGCATTCGTGGCGAAAAAAAAGGCTAATGTTCGTTCTGGTTGTTCGGTTTGTGGAAAAGATAATAATAATTTTCTTTTTTGATTACTGCGAAATGGTTTAGCAACATGAAATACTTCTGCAAGAACGATTACTGGGCAGTATCACATGACGGTTTTGAAAATCCTGACCAAACACATCCGACAAAAACATCCTGAGCTGCATCCGTCTGGTTGGAGCTTTACGATCATGCAAGCGCCCACGTGTCGACGTTGTTGTCTAATTTTTGGCCTGACAAAACGTCGCATGCGTGAAGCAGCCTCTATACATCCCGGATCTTGCTCCTTGTGATTTTTTGTTCCCTCGTCTGAAGTTGGAGCTGTGGGACCAGAGTTTCGGCTCATCAGTGGACGTTTTGAAGAAGTTGGAGGAGGTTCTGAAGACTTTGTCAAAAGATGGATTCTAGCATGTTTTCCAGGACAGACAGATACGTTAGTCTAAGTACAAACAATTCGATGGAAACTACTTTGAAAAAGGCCATATTAACCTGGATTCTGCCTAATGTATTTCATGAGTAGTAAATTCATTCTAATTTTTTTTACTCGCCCTCTTATTAATTGGATTAAGAAAATACTAAATACGTTAAATTTTTAAATACATTATATAAATAATTTTTATTAAATACAGAGTTGGCTCTTCTATCCAAATTCCCTGTGTCCAAATTCTGCTAAAATAAATTATGTTCTTCAGCGTTCATTGCAGTATCAAAACCGAATCAAATTCTAATATTACAAATTTCTTCGAAATGAAAACGCAGTTCAAATGCAATTTATAATAGCAGATATAATGAAAACTATGATACAATGTTTTAGCATTATCTAATAAAAAATGCTAAAATATTACTGTAAAGTATTTTAGCATTGATACTCAAAAAGTATCAGTAATAGTTGATTTAAACTGTGTGCGTGGAAGAGGATGTTGTCGTCGTTTTTTTCGGAGTTTGGTACTTTTATCTAGCAGCAATTCGTTTGTCATAGTCTGTTTTTGTTTGCAAATAAACGCTTGCTTTATGTGTGTAAAAAATTTTTGCACCGGCAATTTTTCAAAATGTTAAATGCAATTGAGTAAAGAAAATGAATTACATTTTGTTTTTGCAACGGAATTACTGCCACAAAAACGTTGCAAATGTTACAAAAAACCTTTGGTGACGACTGTATACAAAAAAACAAGAGTTTTGGAGTAGTACAAGATGCCCAAGGACGACAGAGAACGCGTCAAAGAACCACGTTCTGGTAGATCATCCACTTCAACTGATGAACAACACGTAGCTGAAGTCAGAGATTTAGATAGAAATAAAATAATAGTAAATTATATGTATAAATAATTAAGAGCATAGACACTATATTAAGATTATTTATTAACCAGAAGTGTTAAGCTCTGATTAATAAATAATCTTAATAAACAAAGCAATTTAAGAAATAGATCAAGGAAGAAAACTATGTTAAGAAAGGATTAAATTAAAATACTTTTTCCATTACACAACAAATTTTTTAGCACCAATACATAATTAATTTTTCAACTAATTCTCTCCACATCTCGAATTGTCTTTTTCTTGTAAATTCGTTGTCTAATTTTCCACTGTTCATTTTCTTATTATTTTCTATATATGTTACTAATATTTCTTTTTGTTCTTCGCTTATTTTTTAAAATAAAACAGTGGAGGTTTCCATTTTGTTTCTGGGTACTATATTGCTATAAGACAAAACTTTTAACTATAACACGTGAAAACTAATTCACGTTGATTTGTTTACAACTTCTTACGGTTAAATTGATTGGTCGAATCGTTATAGTCGCAAACTCATATGCATTGTAAATAATCCCATCATGCTTAATTAACGACACACGTAAACAAGTGAATATGACCTACTTCCGCTTGCCTTTCGAGTTCGCTCGATGGGTCTAACTCGAGACTACAGATTATGTGAGTCATGGTAACACGAGTGAGTTCAATGACGTCAATTCGAGTACAACACGAAAAACTCGAGACTAAAGGCTGGTATACACGGTAAGGAAATCCTCAAAGGATGTGCTTAACAGACGAAAAAAACTCGGATATAACTGGCTGGATCGAACATAGTAATTTACAAAACTTATTAAAATATCTCCCAGCGTATAAAGAATTATTTTTATTTAAAAATGGATAGATAGAAAAAAAAATCACGGTTAATCCTCAAAGGATTTCCTTACCGTGTATACCAGCCTTAAGGACCCAGGACGGGCTGGCCATGTGGAGTTTTCCTGGTTTTCTCCACGTCTTTAAGAAATAAATAGGGCCAGTTATCCTTAAAATACCTCCCGGAAGGCATTCTCCTAAGCAGATCCCCAAGTGTTACGTTGCCGTAACTAACAAAACAAACCAACAATCAAGTGAATGTCGCTGGAAAGGTGAAGCATGACCGAAAAGACCACGTCAAAGTCGTGTTGACCGTTTCCTTTTATTGTCGTGGTTTATGTATCGCTGATTCCTTCCGACTGGCCAAACTGTTAACAGAGAATATTATTTGAGCGTTTCCCAACATTTGCGTGAAGCAATTAGTAGAAAACGATTTGACTTGTGGTGAGAAAACATGGATTTAGCTCCACGATAATGCACCTGTTGTTGTTGTCACGATGCTGTTGTTTTTTGTGAATTTTTGGTGACTTGTTACTTTGTAAGTATTTGTGACATTTAAATGTGTTTCAAGTTTAATAGTTTTAATTAATAACATCGAAAATTAATATTAGGATAAATTACACGTTATTTGGACAAGACACCGCTTATGAAACAATACTTAATTTTGATTTATAATTTTAATTTACATAATTATTTTGTGAAAATTTATGTAAATTAATTAATTTGCATTAATCTTTAAAATACAATAATTCACAAACTTTTTCCTGTATGTATTATTAATACAAATAAAAATACAAAAAAAAATATTTTATTTAAATAGAAGGAACTTGTTTTACTGATAAAAATAGCCTTAGAAATTATTAATGCCATTTTAATATAAAGATATTAAAAAATAAAAATAAAATTAAAACTTACATCGGCTTTAATATCATGAGAAAAATGATTTTTCACATAGATACTTCCTAAAGCATACTCTAATAACATGTTGATTGTTTCTAAACAATACTCATGCAAAGGTTTTTCTCTCTCTGATCCTATAGGATTAGTCATCAGTCCATATTTATAGTCTCGAAAGGATTTTATTGTAAATGAACTAAATCTAAGCATAACTCTCCAACCGATGTAATTTGCAATTACTCTTTAACGAAATTTTTTAAAATATTAACGTGAATAAATAAATTTTTAATGTTATATTTATATTTTGATTTATACTCACTTTTTATTAGTTTTTCCGATTAATTCACCTAATTTTTTCATATATTCTGGTACTGGTACTACAATTTCCATATCATCTGACACATTAAAGATATCTTCTAGAACTTTTCCTAAGTAATAAGTGATATTAACCTGATAAAAAATAAGTTTCAGTAATTATTTTATATTTTAATTAACTTTTTTCCTCTAGCTTTAAAAAAAAGCGCTATAATTTTCCATAAAATTTTGATTTTATAATGAATAGATTAATCTTTTTAAAAATTTAAAATTTTATTAAACAGAATTTATTTTTAAATAAAAGCATTAATGAGACTTACATTTGGTCCAAAAATTTCTTGCAACTCACGAACTGTCATTTTATTGTATAATTTTTCTTTATCTTTTCGTTCAACGTTGGATTTGCTAAACTGAAATAATATAGCATTAAATTTTAAATGACAAATTAATTAAAATGAAATTATCATTAACATTATAAAATAAGTATAAAAATTTTAATTTATTATAAATTATACAATATTAGCTTACATTACTGTATATATCATAAATATAATATTTCATAATTAATTTTTTTATTATATTATTATGTTCTAAGATAAAAGTCTGTATTCTATGGCTCAAAAATACTACAATATACAGATTTAAACAAAGGTAGAGTTCCGATACTCCGATTTACAAACAGCTGAAAAAATATGACGATTTAATCTTCCAGCTTTGCCAAAAGAAGTAGGTGTGGGCTGGTTTCGTTTAAAATCAACAATTGGAAATTAATTTCCAAATTTCCGATTTTAAACGTACAGATCGTTTCCTATATCTTGGCTGGACAATGCGCGGTGCTCGATTAAGGCTCTGGAAGTTTTATGAAGTTCAAGATCTCCTTTTTGGTAACGTACAATGACCTTGTCACTGATGCTTAACAGACTGTCCCTGTTATTGTGCATTTTTACAGTACAGTCAAGTTCGTGAAACGAGCTTACGTCTTCTAGAAATATAACATTAAAAAATAAAAACAACTTACACTGGCCAAAGATGCTTCGAACTCAATCAATTCGTTAATTTCCTTTCTTATCGTAAATATGTCTTTCCACGAATGTAAACGATAAACAATATTTAATATTATCTCTCTGTAATAATCAATGTCTGTTCTTACTTTGCCACTCGAAGAAGTGTTCAACAATTCGTTCATTCCGATGCCTAAAGAAGATTGATCTATCTACAGGAGAAAAAAAAAACAACTTTGATATTAAAATATAACCGAAACATTCAGAATCAATTACTTGATTTCGATTGATCAGTATATTATACAGCAGAGGCGTCCGCAGAAAATCCAAGGGAAAGCAAAGCTTTGAAACAAATAATTACATTAATAAATTTTTATTTAATTTTTTGGATTTTTTTTCACAAGTAGATTATAGAATACAGCATTGCATCAACAAAAAAAGATATACAAAGCGTCCCATGGTTGAGGATTACTTTTAAGATAATTATTTGCGGAATTTTTTACTTAATCTTAAGGGAGGGCAAATACCCTATTTGTCCCCTCTGCAAACACCTTTGTTGTACAGTTTTGTCATGTTTATGTTGAACAGGTTTTACTATTTATTATTATTTTTATTTTTAAACATTTGCACTCACTGAATTGTAACTGTGTGATATTTGTTAAATATTAAACAATTACGTTTATTTTTATTACAAATCACATTTTTACAGGTAAAAAAGCTATTTATAGGTTTAATTCAAATTAATCCAGCAATTCCTCATAAAGATAAAAGTACTCGATACAAAACATGAGAACAGTTTGATTTCAAAAAGTTCTTGAATATGTTTCCGAAAACCTGCGCTAGGAATTGGAACACTTATTAACACGAAGAGTTATCAAACAGTCCTTATGAGCTCACACGACAGTGAAAAAAATAATTAGAGAACCAAGAGCTAGTGTCTTGCTCTGTTATCTCAGATTCTTACCTTATCATACTTATTACTCTGATGCGGTTTCGAGTTAAGAACAGTTCGAATACCGAAATACCGCCGTATTTTATTCGTCAGTTTTACGAATGTTTGCTTATCTACGTTTTAAAAACTTAATAACACTTACCTCAAAATGTTCAAATAAATTTTACTAAACATGAAGATTAATTTACAAAAACAAACCACGGTGACAGTCTTAAAGGCTGACAGCGACACCCGGTTGATAGAAAAGCTGGGACAAGGAAGAAAAACTTGCACTATCAGTTTTCATTAAAGTAAACTTGACGAAAGGCACAAAAGAAATTGAAAATTTAAATATTCTAAAATCCGTGGGCAAATTTGAGACAACACGCATGAAACTTGCATTAAAAAAATATCGAATAACGGAGTTTGCACTTAAAAGTTGTGAAATTTTGTACGAAATATTTCCCAAATTCTCGAATCCTATTAGAGCGAAACCATGTTGTAAAAGTGCCGTGTTGTACGAGAGATACCTATAATTACTCATACTTGTCTTTAATTACGCAGGAGAAACTTTCAGATTTCAAATCTTCGGTTTCTTGTAAATGTTTATTTTCTAAAGCTGGACATATTATTAGGTAATGTGTAAATAGGTTTAAGTAAAGACCAAGACGAAACTCTTTTTATATGCAATTTTCAAGTATAAATATTTAAGTGATCAGTGTAAATATAAAACTGTTTATATCAGTTTTGCTACTATATGCTAATCGTAGGAAACAAGTGATTCTAAATCCTTTTTTTTTTCATTTTCTCTCGTACAATATTTTTTTAAAAGTCAATGAATAAATTAATTAATTTGTGTGTAACACTTGTTTTTAAACATCAACTCACATTCAATAGGTTGCAGTAAAATTACGAGTTCATAAATCGTCATTGGAACACTTATAATCACGAGGAAGGTGATGACACAATTGCAAGCCATGTCAGAGAAACTATGATAGCGTTCACCGGAAACAAATCACTGTGGTTAAAAATTAACGATTACTGATCACCATCATATCGAAAAATTATGCAATTTCTTATCACTACCGGTATTCCAGACATTAGCTAGAGAAAGGACGTAGCAACTAGTACCATCTACAAAATTCTTAAAATTTGCCAAAATTCGAAATTGTGTTACATGAAGAATAACGAAAATTAATTTGTAACAGCTACTTTTATAGACAATATAACCATAATTTTTAAATAAAAATTGAAAAGTTCTATGTCAGTCTAACTTGAAGACTGTTAATGATAACTAGCTATATGCTAATCGTAGGAAACAAGACAATTAAGATACATTCCGTGGGTACAGAGTTCTTGCACAGATTTTCTCCTGTGTTACCACGTATAAAATTTGATGTTTGCAAGACGTCTTTGAAGCATAAATCATTTATTGTTAATTATTATCGTCTATTAGGACTTCCACATATTAATAGGACTTATTATATTACATATAAGTGTAACAAACATCGCGAAGCCCGATATGTATATAGAAACATCACCAGATAATCGCCTAAATAACCGGGCTATAACTCCGCTTATTATATTACATAGAAATTCTTAATCAACGAAGGATATGAGCAAGTTGAGTACAAAACGAGACATTGTCTCGTCAATAGTTATTTTATGCAAATATTAAGTGATTCTTAGATGAATTCTGAAGGGCAACAACGTTCTTAAGCTGATTAATACTCGAATGTGTTAAGTTTATTTAAATGTATAATTTATCAAATATTGAAATTATATGATTGCGTTTTAGTTAATAATTCAAAAAATATAAATTTTACGAAAATAATTTTAAAGCGTTTTTCAAAAAAATTTTGATTAAGAAAATATTAGTGGTTCAAAAATTAACCATTATACGTCATCGCATAAATATAACTTATGAGCATTAATTAGATAAGAACACTTTTTAAAATAAAATATATACATTTGAATGTTATTTTTTAAATGATTAACTTTTAAATATATTAATACTTTATAAGATTTTATAACAAATTATATTTACATTTTGGTGTTCCAAATAATTTGAAAGCTTATCGTAAATTAAATAAAAATACAACAAGACTTACGTATAAAATATATTTTGATGTATTTTTTCTATCGGGAGCAACATATAAACTTAATATAAAAGTTTTAGCACCAAGATTTTTTGTTATCCAGACTAAAGAATTCAGCCAATCGTAATTATCTTGTAATCCGTAACCAAGAATCGGCCAACCACCGAGATTATTCAAAATTTTTCTAAGCTGTTTTATCCCCGAGGACTCTGTATTTGCTGATATATAAAGAAAAACATTGTTAAATTATTAATTTTAATGACATTATTTTATATTATTATTATTATTATTATTGTTATTCCAACTTACTTTCTCTCATGCAGCCTTTATATAAGTTATGAACTTTTTTCTCTATCTCTGATGTCGCTAAATTTAAGTACTCCAGCGATTCTAAACAAACACATTAAGCAAAAAATTTTGAAACGATATTGTCCTATCGGCATAAGAAAAGACTTGTCGTTAAAATACTTTCTAGTTTCCTAGTTAAAATACTAAATACTCGAGTATTCGAGCATATTTAGTGATATGGGGATTTTTCCCCGGCCACGAGAAAACTTAAGGCTCATAGTGATTCTAAATCCCATAAAATTAACGTTATTTTTACTCTCATAAAATAAATCTTTAAGATTCCCTTTTATTAATAAAGAAACATTTTACTTGTTTCATTTGTTAAAAAAAAAAAAGAAAAAGGTTAACAAGGACCGCTCTATCTCCAGTCCATTTATAAGTCCTCCATGGTCCTGCTTGATTATAATGCCTTTTTTTGAAGATTTTCCATTAAAAAATAAAAATAGGTAGGCAAATTCTAGTGGAGTTTTCTTTTTGATTAATGTTTTTGTTGCTTTATATTGAAAGGTTTAATTTTACTCATTACGATGAGATTGATTGTTAACGTCAAAGTCTGGTGATATGGGTAGGTTATTAGGAATGAAATCCATAACTGAGAAATAAACAATTTTGGTTTATTATATGGACACTAGATAGGACTGTCCAACGAGTCTCAAACTTATAACAGTGTCAATATTCCAGCACTAAATGTAAAATGACGATTGCGCTCTTCAAATTCAATAGAATTTGTAAACGTAATTTGTGGTAACATACTTTATCTCTTCACATACGTTTCGGACGATCAGGAAACATCCAAATTTATATAAATTAAATACAAATTTAAGAAAGTAAACAAACTTACCATGTAATTGTTCTAAAACATTGAAATATAATTTGGAAAACATGTCCCATTGAGATTTTCTAGTTGGAATTTTATGCTTTTCTTTCCATCCGTGACACACGAAAGAATAAAAATCTTCACAAGGATCAAAACTTTTATTAATTGAAGCTGCATAAATTTTCGCTAAAATAATCAATTTAAACGTTATTTAATAAAATCTGAAAATCAGATAAATTATTATAACAATTACCAATATTTTCACACTCAGGAGTTAAACAATATTCGTTATCATCTATACCGTTTGCTGTAATGAGAAAATTTATTAGAAATATTTTTATAAAGTAATAAAAATTATTTGAATTATTATTGATTAGATACAAACATAACTGTTGAGGAAAGCAGGCCATCGTTAAGGAAGAATAAAATAGGAGAAAAGAGGTAAACGTTATAAACATTTTCTGTAATTTTATATTATCTGAAAAAATTTTAATAACAATTATTTCATTTAAAAAGTGTAAGGATAACTCATGCTACTAAATTATATCTAAAAATAATTATAAATATAAATTTTCTTAATTCAAATCATTTAAAACACTTACTACTTTGTTGTAAATGAATAATATTCTTAGGATTCCCAATTAAAATTAGTAATGTGCTTCTTTACGATTTATAATTATAATAACTTAATTAGAAAGTTTATATCCGTAATGTCTGTTATACAGAAATGGAAATTGTATATGTCTGATAAATATTAAATAACAAGTTCTTGCATAACGTTGTACATATAACGAATGTTTTATGTAACTTAGTGATAATTTCCAGTAATATATTAAACGTCACTTTAAAATTTTAATTACGTAACGAAAGTTTTTGAATTGCTGAGAAAAAATTACATCAAAGAAAAATCGAAGATATTACTGAAATTTTGACTTTGATTAATGTTAAAGTTAAATGTTTTAAATTCTAACCATCTGAAAATATTTTAAATTTTAAATTTTGTTGAGATAAATTTCTATTTTTTTATTTTTCATTCATAAAATTTGAGTAATTTATATAAAACCTAAGTAATTATTTAATTAATAATTCTATCAATAGTTTTCTTATACGGCTGAGCGATTACAAAATTTAATTTAATAACAATTTCATTTTTATTATATGTAATATATAACGTTTGAAAAGCGAAAAAATATTCTTGTAAAGATATTAATAATTAAAATGCAAGATTTTGTAAATAAAATTCTAAAACTATGTAAATTGCAAAAGAAAATATATACTCATTGAAAGTTACCCGCCAGATAGTTGACCAGTTTGACCAGAAAGTTACTGCAAAATTCGGCACGGAGCTATGTATCAGATTTGTACATGATTACAGTAATTGTCCAATTGCACACTACATAATGCTATCTGAGTGCTTTAAAATATTTATTGCAGAATACTATAAGATGACTCGCAGACACTCACTGTGTTCAGAATTTTCAGTACCTGTTGTTTGAATGTCTTACGCCAGGCATGCTGTATGACGTAGTCAAAGACATTGCGCGTAGCTGATGGAGCTTGATAAAAGCCATATATTATGGCTAAGGAAAAAAGATTGACCGTTTCGCCGAATATCCTTTCTGAGCCGTTTTTGTCTGACTATGAACAGTGTTGCAGCAGTGGATACATCAAGGCACACATACATGGTGACAACAAGTCCCTGTATACCTCAGACAGACCATCAGGAGATATAATCGTGACCCAAACAGGAATAGCTGCAATGGTGTCTTTGTCCACTATCCAGAAACAGATAGAAGTACAGCTATAGAACGGGAAAAACCTCTGTTTCTTCCCGTACCAATAGCAGGCGAGTAGTACAAGTAAATTTTCCACCATTCCATTTTTAGCGATAAATCCTCGGTTTTGTTTGGTAACGGATAACCACTCGGTTAGATTTCTTTTTTTTTTACTCTTTCCGCCCTGTGGCACTAAGAAGGTTTCTTATAGCAGGCCCATTATGGGTTCGGCCAGGCCCACAATGGGGCGACCGGGTGGTGAGGGACGGGGCCCGACATATCCGAACGGACCACCACCCCGAAAAATTCCTGGGGATTCCTTGACCCGTCCGGATTCGATCCCGGGTCCCCCAGAGCGGTAGGCTGCCACCTTGACCGCTCGTCCATCTGGCCAACACCCGGTTAGATTATAAGACCACTAGTGAATACCCTTCAATTTTGTCTTTACTATTGAGCGGCAAACTACTACTACTATTGGAGTGCTGGTCTGAGGAGTCATTTCACATGACAGTCGATTTCTCCTAGCAGTGGACACAGCAGTGAGTTCAGAAAATCATGTGCTCCCATATATTGACTTTCATAACAGACTGCAAACAGCCATTTTCCAGAAAGATATTGCTAAGCTAAACACAAGTAGAGTTTCACAGGAATATTTCTATCACGTTGCTGTACTTTCTTGGCTTGCTTGGCCTCTAGATTTTTCATCCATGGAGCATTTGTGAGACAAGATGGACTCCAGCTTTGGCCATCTACGAGTGTGAATGATCAGTGAGCGAATCTGTCTCAGGATTGTAAAGTGTCTCAGGATTGTAAAGTGTCTTCATGCCCGACCACGTCGCCGCAATATGTACCCATGCAAAAGGAGGTCGTATAAGATACTAAAAAGTCATTTAAATTGTGTCATTGTTCTGCTGAAGGTTTTTTATTTGCTATGATATTGTAATCATTCAACTTATTACCATAGTTATTAAATTCACACTGATAAAGTTTCCGATGACTCCTTTTTGATGCGTAACTTTTTTGTCAATAAGTGTACTAGAAATAAAAATACTTTTAACGTTGTACAAAAAGCTACTTCTGCACATTTTCATAAATTTTTGGAAACAAATTTTACTTTTTCGACTATTATATATAACAAAAGGAAGGTAAGGTGATCAATTAAAAAATGATTTTTTGAATGAGTTAGAAATCTTTTTAGCGTTTTACAATTTGGACTCGGGGACCTCGAAACATCAAGAAATAAAAAAAAGTTAGGTTTATATTTTCTTTATGTTAGTGTGTATATGTGGAACACGATTTTTTCACCTACTTTAAAGCTTAATAACTCCTTTACCTTTTGTCGAAAATTTCTGAAATTTCGCAGGTCGGTTCGGATATTAGTGTGTTGATGCTATTAAATTATGTTGATTAAAGGTCGAGTGTATACAGAGATAGAGGGGTATTATGTATTATATCTCGGGTGGGATCGGACTTAATGAAGATTTTACTCCTTATCAGTATTTACATTTTTTTTTTTTTTTTGGATGCATTATTCAAAAATTGCAGATCTGTAAATTTCCACTGATATCCATCTACAGTCTGTTTCTCCTTTTCTTCCTTAATCTTGAGAACAGAGTAAGATAGATGATAACTGAGATCAGATATGGTAAAGTTAGCGGCAGGAGGCCCCAAGTAACTATACACGAACTTCCGGTTTGGAAGTTCGTGTATAGTTACTAGAAGTCAGGTTATTTCAATTCAAAAATTTTCTCCTGAAGAGTTAGATAGATGACCGGCATGACTCTATTGTTAACAGGAAGCGTATTATGTACAGGGACAATGCACTACTAAAATTGAGAGCATTACTAAAATTGCACTACTAAAATTGTCACAATAAATAATAGCTCGTTTGTCTTTTTTTATAAAATTCATCTTTACCCTGAAAATTAAGCTTCTCGCGTTTTATAAGAATTAATAATATAAAAAGTTTTAAAATAATATCTCATAATAGATCGTTCCACAAACAATTTAAACTTTGTTGACGAGAAAATTACTCAACTCATTGCTGGATTTTTAAAGTAAGTTTTAATTTACACTCACCAATTCTTATATATTGCATATACACACTATTTGTCTTCTGAACCCTAAAGTCGTATTTATTTTGTCTGAGCTATAAAATCGTGCTGTATCGTTCTACCTCTGTATCCGATCTTTATAATATATTATGAATATTTTGGGTCGAAGCGTTGTTCGCTCTTTTCCATTGCTGGACAACCATATTGAGGAGTTACTCCAGTAATTGCAAAATGTATCCTGCCCTCTGCTTCTTTAATTTTATATATTCGTTTCCTAGCGTTCTTTATTGTACCATACAACAGTTTGTAGAGTAAAGCCGTCCATTAATTAGATGTAAGTGTAATGTAAGGGGAAGAGAGTCGCGAATAGTAGATTACAACACTATACTCAAACGGGAGGGATCGAATCGAGACACGTAGAGTGTCTACGTAGATTGCTATTAATGGTATTAGAGGCATGAGAATTTATTCTTATGAGTATACTTACTATTTATGTGAATAGTAAGTAGACTTAAAAGAAAATATTTGCAGAACGTTTTAAAGTCATTTCTTTAATATCGGGAAATCCAAGAACTATTGTACACGTAATTAAAGGAAGAGGAAGTTTGTCAAATGTACATTTTTGTACACAAAACGGAGAAAGGGGATGACGAGTTCAAATACTATTCACGTAATTAATGGACGGCTTCATGTCAGTTTTCACAGCTACTGAGGAAAGCAATAAAATTTAAAGCTATAATAATTAATTGCGTATTTAATCAACTTAAAATCTTCAAGTACTTTTTATTCGACGAAACTTATTTCAGTTATTCCAAGTTGCGAAAATTCATAATTATTGAGGAAGAATTTTGTATGACAAATTTAATATGTACTTACCTCACTATTAGCAAACCATTATGTGAGAGATGAACTTAATACGTTTCTTAATGCTTAGCATAATGTTACTTAGCAAGTTTTAAATAATCATTTTTAATAATCTAAAATTTTCCTTTTTGTTTTTAAATGAAGAGAAATGCAAAAAGTACATTTACCACTAAATAAAAATTTTAATTGTCAAGTGGTAAAGCTTTCTGACAGTTTTGGCTTCAGAAATGGCAAAATCATTTAGAAAAATTAATTTTTACCGTCTCTTTTGTGTTTAATCTGTTGTTTTAATGCTTTAAGTAATATTTTATGCATTTTAATAGTGGTGCCCGGATTTTTGATTGACAAGCCAAATTGCTTATAAGTCGTGAGCGGCCTCCACAAATATTTTGTAATGTAGTCTACCGTACAAAAATAGGTGTCTTTCTATATTTATAACTGTGTCAGATGTGTTCACAGAGTAGATTAATATTTTATGACCCAAACTATAGCCCGGAGCCGAATTTGGTCCGAAGGCTATTGTTCGGGCATCACTCTATTTTAAGATATTCACTGCGTTTGTTAAAAAATCCTAAACTTTTTTTTACCTTAATAAGAAATTTTTTAATTTTTAATTCTCTCGGACCTAAACTATAATATGCAATGCTATTGTTTGACTTTCGTACACAATTTTAAGAATGTATTTATTGCAGAAAAAATTTGTTTTTATTAATCCGAGACAGAATTCTAACCTTATTTGATTACTCTTTTAATCAAACGAGCGAAAGTTCATACACAGCATTATTTATCCATTGTAAATTTCTCATTGAATTTTGAACTATCGTTGATAATCCGCAATATTTGTCATATTCAAAATAAAAATCTTCTTTTTGGATGATTTTGATTTTGAATATGACAAATGGTGCTGAGATCTTGCAAATTATTCAAAATTCTCGAGGGACAAAAAGTATCGTTACATAAATTATAATGCCTACTCCCATGTTTTGGTTCCTTTCCGCCATTCCGTTATGATCTATATTTTTTCTCTAGTTCTTTTTGTCTTTGTTCTTTTCATTTGAATGAAATCAAATGGAAAAAACAAAGACAAATAGGTGTTAAAATATTTATTGTTGCATAGCATTATATAATACATTGCTGCTTATTTTGTTGGAAATTTTTTTAAAAATTGTCGCCTTATATACGACTATGCGCAATAACACAGAAAGGGTTGAGACTAGTGTTGCAACGAATAGTATATTCGGCCTCAGGCCGAATACCGAATATTCGGCCAGGAGCGTGGCCGAATAGCCGAATATTCGGCCAGGAGCGTGGCCGAATAGCCGAATATCCGGCCAAACTATTCGGCTTGATTAACGCACTTACGAAAATTGGCGCGCAAACCGGATTATGGTAACGACCTTGTATTGACCTTGACTATTGGCCTGCTGTCATTACGCTTCGCCAATCGCGTTAATTCTTGACAGTTGTAGTGGACATACATGAGCGTCATGGCAGTATGTGATAAATGATGATATCAAATGTGGATAACAATGAAATGACCTACACGTGTAAATAACGGAAAAAGAACAGAGAAGGACCATGAAGTGAAAATGTGAAAATAAATAGGAAATTGAGTTGATAACATAATCGAACAAGTCGAGGCAGCTTATTGGCGCGAAATTCGCAATTGTCATAGACTTCGGAAAGCTAAATGCTTGTAATGAAAGACAGCGTGCATGGGCGTTGGGGCTACCAAGTTGTCTCGAATCTGTGAAATGATAACTGTAACTTATACCGACATCCTATCTGTCTCTTTTCTCCGTTATCACCAGGC